GGAAGGACAGTGGGCTTTGTGTGACGTTTCGTTGCTTTTCGTTTGTGGATAGCTGGCTTGGAGAATCCCAGAATTTCGGAGCCGGACACGTTGAATGCTGCTCACTGACCGTTTCCCTGTGTGCGCTGTAGAGCGGCAGAGGCCCACGCCGGGGGTCCCGCGGCGCGCCGGTGGCTGGCTTGGGAGTGACGCCACTCCCCATCAGTGCCTGTTCCTTCAACACCTGCCAGGCTGTCTTACAGTCACCTGGAGCCAGCACATCTCTGTCGGGTAGCGAGGTGTCCCCCGGGGTGGAGACTGGGCCTCATCCCTGCCACCCGTGGGGCCTCGCTCCGCGGGCCAGCCTGGATCACGGCCCCGAACACCTATTGCTACGGGCAGTTGGTTCTGCCTTTTAGTCCACAGATGCACGAAGGTGGTTCGGAGTGGAGCACGGTAATCCCGAAGGGAGGCAGGGGCTTACTCACTGATTTCTAGCAGGTAGTTACTCTGAGCTCTGGTGTCTCATTTCCCACAAGGGCCGCTGGGGCAGTGTGGAATCAGCCCGAGGCGCTGAGCCTCCGGGTCTGGGAGCCGCTTCCTTCCAGCTTCTCTCGGACCGTGAGTGGCATTTCAAGGCAAGGCTTTGAACTGGGTTCTGGGTTGAGTCCAAACCCCGTGGTTGAGCGCTTGTGTGTCAGAAGGGTTGGAGCAGAGAGGGAGCACCGCTAGAGAGACCTCTGAGGGTTTGTTGCTGACGAGGGCCTGGCCCTGGGCAGGCAGCCTTACCCCTGCATTTTACTGGTGGTAAGTGGTTAGCTCGGAGGGGGTTGCTTGCCGGGCACGCACTGCTAGGAAATGAGAGACTGGGTGTCAACACACACCCGTCTGAGGTCAAAACCCATCCTTTGTCCGGAGCCTTTCAGTATGGGGCCTCGCTGCCTCTCTTGGAAACTGTTACCTGTTGGGGCGGGGTGGGTGGGTGTGCAATTCGTTGTCCATCTGATAAGGGTATTAAGTCCTGTCAGTGAACTTGACATTTACTCCTACAGAAAACCAGACCCTTTCTCCCTGAATTTCTGCCCTTTCCACCTTTCTCCCTGAATTTCTGCCCTTTCCACGGTGTGTGGTCTGTTGCATGACAGGTTAGCTGATCTGGAATGATCTGTTTTCCTTCTTAAACATTTCAAAAGACATGTCCCAGTTTAGGAAACTGATACTTGGAATCACAGCTTTCTTGAGATTAAAACTTTTCCAGGGCCACCTGAGTGGCTCGGTCGGTTAAGCGTCCGACTTCGGCTCAGG